GTAAATTCTTCATGTAAAAATAAATTAAAACTATTAAATCTAGTAAGGTAGAGGCTTTGTGATTTCTATATCTTAAATAAACATATATTATAAAACAAAGTGATGGTTTGAGGAGAAAATATGACCTTTATTAAGTATTACCCAAGTTTTTATTTTATAGTTTCTATTATAATTTTAAAAAAATTATTTTCTAACACATTGTCTTTTTTAATAACCATATTCTTTATTTTGTAGTTGTATTACTTATTTAGATAATACTGAGTAGTATGTTTAGATTTTCTATAATATAAGCATAATTCTTTTTAACAACCTTGAGTCTTTTTTTACTCAATGAGAGATTTAAAATGAATAATATTAAATTTTATTTTTTATAATTTTAAATGTATGTATTAAAAATATATTGATATTTTCATTAAATTACAAAGATGTTGAAGCGTATTTATACAACTTTCAAATCAGAATCCAAAAAATTTATTGTCACACTTCACAACAAAGTCAATTATTTGGCTAAATATTTGAAGATATAATAAGTTCAACATCAATTTTTTAAAATTAATATTGCAATCTATATAAAAATTAGCTAATAAGTGCAACATCATGCCACTTAATATTAATTGCAAGGTGTTACATTTATAAAAATATATTATAATATATTATAATATTTTTGACTTAAAATATGAATCTTGTTGGTTGTAATAAAAATTGTATCATGTTTTCTATATATAAATTAAAAATTTACCAAAAAATATCTATATTATCTAATAATAAATTATATTTTTCAAAAAAAGATAAAAATCATAATAAAATTGAATATGAAAGTAGTGTTTCAATAAACCTAACTTATAATCTTAAAGTTAAATAATTTTGAGTTCAAAGTTCACTTATCAATTAAACTTGATTGATGAATCTTTGAAAGTTTGATCATATACCATCAAACTTCTCAAAAAAGACAATTCTTATTTCTTTAATACCTAAATAATGTTCTAATAGAAAAATAATAATATAATTTGATGTAGATGATGAGGTGGCTCTAATAATTTTTATATCTTTACTCAAGCTAATCTTAATATTTCTTGTGGTGGTGGATTGAATTAATGCATTGTAAGCATTAATTCTTTCATTTACTTTTGCATTTGTACTATTGCATCATTCATTTTAATAATCTCTATGAATAATTTAATCAAAAAATGATAAAATTTAATAAAATTTAATATGTAATAATATAATAATAAGCTCTATTAATAATTCAATAGAAAAAAAGATTTCTAATATTACTTGAAATGAATTGAAGAAAAGACTCAAGAATAAAGAAATTTCTAAGATTAATATTACTTTAGAATTGAGTAATCTATAACTTCTAATATTTTTATTTCTAATATATATATATATATATATATATATATATATATATATATATAAATGTATTCTCTTTTTAATTAAAAAGATACAAAGCTTTCATATTGTAAGTATATTTTGATGAATTTATTAATAATAAGGTTTTGCTGAATATAATTAAACATATAAGTTGTGTTTCAAAAAAAGATGATATAAAAAAAATAAGAAAATATGTATTCAAGAAAAAATTGAAATGACTATTGTCAAAGAGAATAAAACTATAGACACTTTAAACTAGATTATAAGCAAAAAAAAGAGTTAGTAAGATTGTGGACAGTTTTTCTCTTGCCTCTTCATACATTGTCTAACTAACAAATCACATGACAATATTTTATAAGTCATCCAACATGTGTCTAACTTGTAGGACATGCCTCTAACTTACAAGGCAAGTTTCTAATATATATGCCACATAGCCAATTTTTACAATAAGTGGCAAACACATGGCTAGCTTGTTGGCTAAGTTTTTAACCTATGAATCAAACACTTTTAAAGTCAAATTTGCATTTATGAAGCTTCTCCACAAGATATTATTAAATTTACTTATTTCTATCTAATTCCTTTTATCTAAGTAAATATTAGTATAACACTAACTCTTCTTATCATCATAATTACTAACACCAATATTGAAGTCTATGATATTTAAAAGATGTAATTTTTTAATAAAATTTGATAAATTATTATTATTATCATTATTATTTAAATCTCTATAATTTTTTGTATATATTTAGAATATAATAAATATATCTTTGTAGTAGCAAAACCTATCTTTTAACATATAATGATATAAGGCTTAATTTCTATGATGTTAATAAATTTACAAACTTTTGCAAGTAAATAATATTTTTTAAATAATTTATTTAGATACTTTTAAAAATTGGTTGCTATTTAAAATATAAAATTTCTAAAACTTTTTGTAAATGTTATAAGAAGTTGATTGCTTATATTTTTTTTATTATTGGATGATCCTTTCTAAATTCACCATTTTCATGTTTTAATGTAATTATTTTCAACTTTTGACATTGTCTAATATGTTTATAATTGCAAATTTTTTGTAAGATGAATTTCTTATCAACAATCACTGCCTAACAACCAATTGTTTGTAAAATACAAGTTTAATATTAAGAAGAAAGAACTAAACCTAGATATAGAAATGTATCCTATCATTGCCAAATACTTTGACAACTATCAGAACTATTTTGTTAGTTTCAAAATCCAAAAAATTTAGAGACCATAGTTGAGGTTGCTAAATGCCTCACTAATAATCATTGCAATTCAAAAACATGACTTTTACAGATTTAAATTTAGCTACTCATTTTAATATGCATCTAGATGAACGAACCATTTTAAAAATAAACTTGGGCTGTAAATCCCAAACCTGCATATTTTAAATTGGAAAACAATCCACTGCAATAGAAGGCTGGTAGTGATTTGCAACCCCGGCCTCCAGAGATCCTAATGGAGGTCCCTGGAAAGACGGGGTGGAACAACCATGCGGACTCCTAAAACCACATCAAGGCACCAAAAACTCAAGGTATCAATACCAGGGAATTACAACGTCTGCGTGACATTGTGATTCCTGCCATGTCAATGATTGTGGTGGCAGTTAAGAAGTCGCCACTTATACTGAACCTCAGCAACAGTCACAAGCAACCAAAAACTATACTATTTGCAATGTGTCTATTCACTCGGAGCCTCCTATCACCAGTCCTTGGTCGCCTAATTTTGCAACGACGCCACTAGCGCGGTAACTGTGTCCTGGCGTAGCTAATTTGACTAGCTACATTTACGTTAGCATCCAAGGCTTGCTCGCTTTGGTAACTCGGGTGGCGGACTAGACAAACTTTCCAGAGCCCACCTCCCTCGTCTTCCTCGTGTCTCGGAGGCCGCTCTCCCTTGACCCAATCATAGGCCGCCAATTGTGCAGCAGTTTTCCTCGGGAACTTTCTCATGACTTTTCCGTCAGGGGTGTGGAATCTAGTAATTATTGACCTCACACCATAGTTCTCACCCGGTGCAAAAGATTGGGGGAGTGAACAGAAGTGCGAGGCTTTGAGCCACAGGGACGATGGATGTGTGGTGGTGAGATCTCTCTCTGGTGACGCTTTACAGCTACTGGGACCTCCATAATGCCGCAGGGTGAGGTCCAAACTTAGACGCACTCGAGGCATCGTTGTTAATAAGCCTACTGGTTCAATCGACCAGCGAGCTACAAGTTCCAATGCCATAAATTCCTTTCCGGCGGTGGAACATTGTAATGTGGTTTGAATTGGGTGGGAGGTGATTCGTGATGATTCTGGCTTTTCATGCATCAAGCGAACAATGTCAGGTGAAGTCGGAGGATGGGAAACCCTCGGTGTTAAATTCCTGAGGACAGCGAATGAAAGTTCGAGGTGTTGCTTTGTATAATGCTGCACGGGATGACTGATGGTGAAGAAATCGATTTGCTGAAAATACTTGTGCGGCTGGTCATGCGACTCTTGGAAATCTATACAATACTGACTAGTTGACCCAACTCGTGACGATGTTGAAGCAGCTTCCGTCAAAACCGCAAAGAGACTTTACGATTACAATTCATTGGTAGCTTAGACTTGAGCTTCTTCACCTTGTTACGAGGTGACACCAAGTTGATAACTTCCGATTCCCTCATTAACATCATACATGAAGAATATTAAAAGATGAGAGGATTATCTCAACTTAACCTGCTCCGATAACGAGAATAAAGAATTAAAAGTCACTATGAAATCCACTACTAAGCGACTGCACATTGTCGCAGTTACTATATCATCAATAGTTAGTTGTTACAAACAGTAAAACGCAGCGTGATTGCTAAGAAAGTACTGGTGAAGTGAAGCCTTGCAACGATTGGTAGCGAGGGAGAGATTGCTGACGAGAGCTATCTATCACCGCGAGAGAGCGCGTGGGACAGTCCACCATCGGACAACTTTACCTGACTCACGGTTGTCAACGCCAAGTAATGTTGGAGTAAACACGCGGTAAGGCACAGATCAGTTGCAGTAAACTCCGCTGGAGGCATCCATCTTCTCAGTGAACAGCCTTTGGGCCCCTTTCTGGTTTCCATTTGATCCTCGGTAAGAATATAGTGGGAGTGATTGTTGATGGAGGTGGAGGTTTCCACTTCCCAAGCCTGGGTCCGCAGTAACAGGAGACAGCTACCACTGAAGACAGCAACTGAAATTCGTAAGCCAGCTATCCAGCTAACTAGCCATCCTTGCAGGGTCCAGCAGTTTGCCCTGGAGGTTCTGCATTTGCTTCTCTCTTCTTCCAGGTGCGATCTTCGTCTGCCGTTTTCTGATCTGTACGCCACTGACAGTACTAAGTGTTTAGGGACATTCCGACATGCGTCAGTCGTCTCACCTGCCTGCACTACTTGCATTCTCGTCTGCTTCCGGGGTTGGGACGAAAACGTCGAAGAACGAGTTGGCGCTGCTGGTGCGTGTTTTTGGTAGGGGTTGGATGTTTTTGTCTTTCGCATTGCGACATCGTGAAGTCAACCGAGGGAGGATTTTGCTACTCCCGTCAGCTTTGGACTCTCGGTGATGGCGGCGCCGAGCGTGGATTGAAAGCAGTCAGGAGTAATGCGGGGGGGGGGGGGGGGTTTAGAGACAGAGGGAGAGGTTGGAGTGGGATTGAAGTTGTGAAGTTAATCCTGGGGTGGTGCTGTACATCGTTGCAAATTCATGAATATTGACACAGCACCACTTGCATTGCGCTCAGCGTTTGGGCAATGTCATGGGAAGGAGGTGTGTCTTGCGGGTGCACCTTAGAAATCTTCTTCCTGTGTCGCGACTGGCGTGCCAAATTGGCGAGGGCAGGAAGGGTAGACTAGAGAACCAGTGCAATAGAACTGGAAGTGAAGTCGGTGGTCGCGTGGATTGACCTCCAAAACTGTTCTGCGCTCCGTTTGCTTGCCCCGTAGTCGACGTGGGGTCACCGTGAGATCCGCCCTTTCCTTGTGCAGTGTTGTGTTATTTTTGTCATATTTCTGTGTCTTTCTCATCAGTCGTTTAACTGAAATATCGGGACACAGCTTGTGGGTTCCAATCACGAATTACAACGTGATTGCCCCCTCTTGATCTGGTAGCCACTGTTCCATGTGTGGTGAATTCCAACTCCCAATACCGCCTTTTACGCAAAGGACTTTCCCTCTCGAAAACTTAGTGCTCTCGTGGTCATGACCAGCCTCGACCCACTTCCTGGATTGTATCACTCTGTGCCGTTGCATTGGATTACGTAACGTGAGCATTGTAAGGGTTAGTCACGTAACTACGGTAGCCTTCATCGTCTCTTGCAGTTGAAGCGATTTCTTTGATGTCCTGACTCTCATACTTTACTATTTTCGTCAGTGCCTTCTGTTAGATTTGTCTTCGTCGTCTTTGATTCTCGTCATTATTCATTTCGATAAAGTAAACGTGCTCTTCCCTTGTTAGCCTCTTTGTTTCTCAACCTATGTCTGGTAAATCCTGGCGTTGTGTATGGGAATGTTTCCTTCAAACGTCTCTGTCTCTCACCACCACCTGTTTGCTACAGCTCTTATGCTCTGGCGTCACTGTCTCCGTGAAAATTAACTTCAGTCATGGACAGTTTCTTCCCCGATTTAGGTTACACCTAACGCTGGCTGGGTTGGTGTGTGTGTGTGTGTGTGTGTGTGTCAGATCCTGGACATAGATTGAGAAATGTTGCTACAAGCCTGTCCATTGCAAACTACCGTCTCCTTGTACGGTCTAACATTTTACCAGGTTAAGTGTTGCTTTGGGTCCGCTTCATGTGCGGGAGGATTGGGTGAAGGAATTTTTATAGAAGACTTTGCTGCAACGAAGCATTGGTTTTGGCAATAGCTAGGTCAGGACTTGGGACATGCAGGAAAGGACATCAGGGTTCCGGTTGCATTGGACGATGCATTGCGAACTCAACCACGTAGCGTGCTTCCGAGCATAATTTTAGTTTCGCAACAGGAATAGCAAAGTGGGTTGACAGCGGAGTGGCAAGAGATCGCCGATTTTAACCGTGAGGAAGTATTAGTTGGCTTCGCTATGGGAGGAAATTTGACCGTCTGAGACAGAATATTACAGCAATGCCGCGAATTTGATCTTAAGTGTTGCCGTCACTAGAAAGGCGACATGGTTCCGTGGGGGCAGAATCCTAATAGCACTGAATCTCGTGATCTGACCCATGTGCTGCTGAGTCCTAGGATGGGAGATGATGCGAAATCTCCCCTAAACCGCAAAATGCCGAACTTAAAGAACTGTGGAGACTTGAAGGCATGCCCCGTCATTAACTTGTTCAGAGGGGACGCTTGTTTGGCTGAGGACGCAGGTGACACAGGAAATGGCGGATTTCACAAACCTGCCAGTTGCAAAACTCTTAGGGTGGAGCAGTCGCGGATCTTCAGCGACCTTTACAACTCTTTCTTACATTTAGCAGAACTTTTAGCAGGGCTTGCTCGGCAACTTAGTACGCAGAAGAAGAAAGGATCTAAACACTCCGCTTTCTACATCTTCGCTGGCCTTGCCTTCATGTTCCTTCTCATCAAGGTCTCCTCATTCGGATGGTTTGCTGCTCAAACGCTCTCCAGTTCCTCTAAGGTATCCACATTTATTCTTCTTTTCGGCTCTCACTTAATTAGACCACCGAGAGCTCTTTCAGTGAGCACATTGAACTCTTGGGTTCTGATTCTTCGAAGTATATTAAGAGCAGAATCCATGTGCGGTTTTTTTCCTGCAGGTACCAGATGACACGAAAGTGATGCTCCAAGCTGTTAAAGTCGAGTCCAATGAAGCTAAGTACGGGCATGAATCACAAATACTCGTAGATACTTCGGCTGTGTCAATACCGTCACAGGAACATACTGCAGTGAGTAAAGATGTGGGAGGTGTTTTGGATAGTAACCTGTGGGCCAAGCCCAACAGCGATTCTTATCACCAATGCATAGACCGTCCTAAGGGCTACAAGCGTAAGTGCAGTTGTTGATTAGCCTTGTTTATGAAGTGGGTTTGTCATATTGATGTTTGACAAGGGAGTGGTGTGTGACATTGTTAGCACATGTGCCTTATGAATTTTCTCTCTTTCATTGAGCATGACTTGCTTTGCCATGCAGACCCAGGTAACAATACCAACGGATATCTGTTAGTCAATGCTAATGGCGGTCTCAACCAAATGCGAGGAGGAGTAAGTAGCTGACTGGTTACGCCGTCATTTCATTAGTTATTAGATACATTGTGTTGACAGAGAAAGTTACTTTTCTTCATATGAGGGTTTGGTGTTTTGCTCATTTTTAAAATAACTCTTTGCAGATTTGTGACATGGTAGCGATTGCCCGGCTGATGGATGCGACACTAGTTGTACCTGTTCTCGACCACAGCTCCTTTTGGGCAGATCCGAGGTGCGCACTAACTTCACTTCACGATTAGCCATTCTGTCAAGGATTCGTAAACAAATCTTTCATAGTTTGAGTGTACTAGATCAACTTTAGAGATTTGTGTTTCTTTGCACTGTCTGAACATTTGTTACCCGTGGCAGTGAGTTCAAGGACATTTTTGATGTCAAGCATTTCATTGAGTCTCTCCAAGAAGACGTCCACATTGTGGAGGCCCTGCCTGCTTCGATGGCTGGCATCGAGCCCATGATGAAAGCCCCCGTCTCTTGGTCAAAGGTGGGCACTTGTAAACCCTTTTCTTCACCATCATACCTGAAGGTGTGTGAATGATTCTCTGTTATAGTTGATGAATTGTCCATTGAGATAGCTGAATTGGTGTGAAACTCACCATTGAGTGGTTTTTCTTTTCTGCAGGCGTCATACTACAAAGATGAGCTGGTGCCTCTCCTCAAGCAGCATGAAGTGCTGTCATTCACACACTCTGACTCGCGGCTTGCGAACAATGACTTGCCTGATGAGGCGCAGCGCCTTCGTTGCCGGTCCAACTATGTTGCCCTCAAGTATGCTGACCCCATCAGCAAATTATTTCAAACGTTAGTCAAGCGATTACGAAACGATGGCCCTTACATTGCACTCCATCTTCGGTAAACTTCCAGTCCACTAATCTTCGCTCTCCGGATCTTACATCTGATCATTTTATGTTATGGGTACACCCCACGATTCTTGAGCTGATCTGTGATGAGAGGTGGTTATGGTGGATTTCAGATATGAGAAGGACATGTTGGCATTTACCGGGTGTGTGCACGGACTATCGGCTGACGAAGGTGAGGAACTTAGGCAGATGAGGTACTCGGTCCCGCATTGGAAGGAGAAGGAAATTGACAGTGAGCTGAGGCGGAAGGAAGGGGGTTGCCCTCTCACTCCTCACGAGACGGGGCTTCTGCTGAAGGCGCTCGGCTACCCTGCGTCGACCAAGATATATATAGTGGCAGGGGAGATTTACGGTAATGGAACGAAGGATGCGTTGAAGAAGATTTTCCGCAATGTGTACGATCACATGACGCTCGCCACAGAATCAGAACTGGCGCCTCTCAAGAGGTTTCAGAATCGCTTGGCAGCGTTAGATTATATGCTAGCGCTAGAGAGCGATGTGTTCGTGTATACCTACGATGGGAACATGGCCAAGGCTGTGCAGGGGCATCGCCAGTTTGAGGGCTATCGGAGAACAATCAACCCCAACAGGTACCAATATGTCTTCATTTTGTAAAAAAAATGTTTGCTCTTTTATCTGGGATCACAGGCAACAACAGACATTACCTGCTTGAAGTCACACCTGATGAAGAATATTTTGTGTGCGGCTGGTGTGTGCAGGGAAAGTCTTGTGAGGCTCATAGACGAATACGAGAATAAAACAATTTCTTGGGAGATTTTCCAAACTGAGGTTCGCAACATCCACTTGGACCGCATAGGGGCGCCGCACTACAGGGAAGCGGGGGAATCTCCCAAACTGGAGGAGAATTTCTATGCCAACCCTTTCCCAGGTTGCATCTGTGAGCAAGAGAGTCATCAAAATGATGAGGATAAGCATGAATCCAACCGTCGGCTCCTCAGACATTCTTAGCATCCACATCTCCTGGTAGTTCCCACCCAACACCCCCCCCCCCCCCCCCCCCCCCCCCGTTGTGTAATGTATAATAAATTTTCCAAAAGGGCAGTAACTTGCCTGCGTTGAGAGTGAAGAAGTGGGGCAGGAATTCGTAGCCAGGACTTGCTACAACTAAGCAAACTGCCGCTTCTGGTTCCTATTCCTCACACCCAACTATTTTTGTAGCTCGTAGAAAGAATAAGAAATGAAACCACCATTCTCAGTCGCAGTATGTAATTGTATGTCTGAGCTGAATTGTCCCTTAAATTATTTTTGATCCCCGGATTATATCCACATGACTGATACAGTCACTGTGGTGCCCGATGCGCATTCGAAAACTACGGAAGATCCAACCTCCTGGTGGAGTTTTGCGTGGCGACCTGCAACTGTTGAAGTGAACAGTTTTCATCACTCAGGAGTCCCGCGCGTGCATTATTCAATGACTGGATAAACCCTCACTACCAGTCATTGCAAATAACAAAGATACCTGAAATATTGACGTTGCCTAGTTGCAATAATCGTGCCAATTCTACTTATTCATCTAAAAAACTCTCATCAGAATACCCTCTTTGGTCTGTTTTTTTTCTTAAGTTTGCAACAGAGGTACTTAGAAGAAATGTATTACATCACAGAACAAAGCATAAGCTACTACAGGAGCAATAGATCAATAAAGGGAACATGATGATCTAACCATTATTTACACAGTAATGTTCTCAAGATGCTCACAGCCACACTAGTTCCATCCTCGCCTTCAAGCTTCACACTCAAGGAAGAAGCGCAGAGCTTCATCTCCACGCTACGGGCTTCCCTAATTGCAGCTGATATCACTTTCACAGCATCGTGGAAATTCTCAGAGGAGGACATGTCAGGCATAAGGAGTTGAGGTGTTAAAGACTGCGGTGCAACTCTAAGCCATGTCATACGCTCCGCCCAGTAGAATTGGTCTAACACAAATGGACAGATAATCTGCGGGGTGCCTGCTCTCAAGCAAGCTGCAGTGGTGCCGCTACCACCGTGATGAATTGCTACCGAGCAGTGAGGAAGTAGCCACAGATAAGGGACAGAGCCTGAGTAGCAGAAGAGGCGACCATTGAAGCAGCACAATCCCTCCTGCAAAAGATTTCTCTTCTGCTCTGCTTCTAAATACTGAGTTGAAAGGTTCTCGTCACATAACTCGGTGACCTCGAGATCAAGAGGCGGATGACCGGCAGTGAAAAGAATCGCTGAACTATCAGTTGCCTCCAAAACAGCTTTAAGAACTTTTAACATAGACCCTGGTCGTTCTAAGAAGCCCATGTTTCCTGTTGAACTAAACCCTAAAAATATCGGCCGATCATCTTTGTTTTCAGATTCATCAAATTTGTGCTCTGAAAGGAAGTGACCCAGCTTTACAGGTGGTTTGTAGCTCCGCTTCTTCGTGCTGCCTGCAAAGATCTCAAGTTGAGGATTTTCTTCTGGGTTACATTCTAATTGAAAATTATGAGTAGAAAGGGTCGTCTTCTTTACAGCCTGTATAGATTGCTTACCATGTTGTAATGTTTCAGTCACCAAACACGACTGCCTAACTACAAGGTCCAAGGGTGCTCCCCTAAAGCTTGCAGGTCCTTTGAGGCTCTTCGGCTTGGCTTGAACTACCGACAATCCGGGATTGACCTCAGGCGCTACGTCCCACTCCAGTGGGGTAAACCAAAATCCGCATACGCTAATGCTACTTGGCCAATACGCAGGGCATTCCACCACCTGTGAACTGGATTCACAAACACTTCAAACAACAATATGATTATGAATCAAACATAACTGATGAGGTGAGCGAAAGAAGTGTCTTACCGCTCCTCGAGGAATCATGCCATTCGCACACTAAAAATATAAAAACAGTCATCGGGCAAGAGCAAGGATATGTGCACGACCTGAAGCCATACAAGAGGTGAGGCGCCTGCGGCCACTCGTATACAAGCGGGAGGTCTGTGACAGGATCTGTAAGCGGGCAAGCGCTAAGATGGAGCCGGTGCAATCGCCACTCTGCCCAGCGATCCGTAAACAGGGGCCACATCCAATGCATTACCTCTTTCCACCCCACTTCTCCTGGCGCAGCCTCCTGGAGTCTTCTGTAACATGGCGGACCTAAACGATTCTCAATTCAAGTAATGCAATCGATTACGATGAGCTGGAGATCGATGAAATTGAGGGGCCAAGTGCAAAATCCAGGCATTACCTGTACAACAAGGGGTGCGCCGCGCGAAAACGTCTTTCAAACGAGGAGGGAGCGCTGTATGGCACCACGTAGGGAGCCAGGACCGTGCACGGCACTCGGTAGAGCTCCGCCAAGTGCCATCCTTCAAGAGCAAAAAAATTGAAAATCACAGCGTTGCCCTCAGCGTCATCCGCTGCTCCCATGACAGAATCCATTGCCGTAAGACATTCTTCTCGAAGTTCCATCTCCAGAGCTTCTCTCAGCTGTCTATCGTCATCCTCCGAAGCACCCGACGAGTGGCCAATTTCTGCCTCCGAAGAAGCTGCGGTGCGTCCGGGAAGCACCGGCGGAGCCGATACTCCCACAAACGCAACCCCAGATCGTGCCAAACGAGTTTCCAAATCGCGGTGCGCTTCATGAGTGATAAACGTGATGCTTGCGCTTCGATCGGCCCTGGCTAAGCTGTCTGCCACCACCGCCACAGGCAATACATCGCCGCGTGTGCCGAATGAGAACACCGCTACTCGCCGCTTCTTCATTTCTGACAGCCCACATCAAGCTGACGCATTTGAAGCTCGCACGATAAAAAAGAAAAAAAAGAAAAAAAAGAAAAAAAAAGACTTGTGGGCCAAACTCTATTCACGCCGGCGACCTCGAAACGACAAAATTCCTCGGCAATCACACACAGCGTCTTCGTCTGCTGTTTGTGTCAGTACCTGCCTCTTGGCGCCAACTTGAAATGGATCAAACCCAATAATCAGGGTTGATCTCAGCACTTGGATGCATAGACATAGAGTCCAAAGTTTGGATTCATCGAAGGGTACCTTGGATACGTAGTTCTTCACTTTTGAATTCCAAACACGACTTTTCTCACTTGCAATTCTTATCGCATATGACGAGAGGAACTACGCAGTAGTACAATTCCAGAACTTTGCGGGATTTTGTTTGTAATAGCTTTGAATGATTCTCTTGGGTCGAACCATTTTAGAATCTAACAATAAAAAAATAAAAAATAAAATTATGGTAAATAAGAGAACGTGGAGTTGTTTGCACCATGGATCAAGAGATTGTGACACAGACAAGATTGCGAAGGCACGGGCCATCTGGGCCGTCATGGATTGCCTGAAGTGATAATTTCGAGCACAAGGATGCAGGAGCAGCTTAGAATCAGATGCGGAGCATTCAATAATTCGGGATCAGGCTGCAAATCATGAAGCTCACGTGAAAAAACGTTGCCCCGGGTAATCAACGATGCACTTAAAATGCAGCACTATCGTTGAAGCTCCTTCGAGAAGCCCAAAAGGAGAAGGAAAAGATAAAGAAAAGGGAGCGAGAGAAAGAGAGAAGTGGAAGTTTGATGGGGGCTTTAGACGACGGAAGGACGCCTGGATCTAGAGAGATTCATACAGCGAAAGGAAGCTACTGGTAGAGGCGGCCCTTGCTTCTTATCCAGTGCAAAACGATTGGAATTTACTTATATCGTGACGAAGAGATTGCTCACCTTTCAGGTGTCTTCCCTGTTTTTGATTGTAACCACCCCAATTGTGGAGCGTCGCACATCGAGTCAGTGTTGGAAATAAACAGACCGCGTTCCTGAGACTTCGGTGGATTCGCTGAGAAGTGGGAAACTGCGAGTGGTGGGATTAGACATTGGAGATTTGAATTTGGCTGCAGTTCATCCATGCGACGGTGTAGCTATGGCGCAGCACACTTGCAGCTTTCAGTGTCCTTTGGCCCGTGGATGCACACTCCGTTATTCACAGGTAGGCGTTCCACTCAATTGCTCCACAGGAGAATTCCTTTCTGAGTCCTCCATCACTGGTTGTAAATTTGATCTCTCAGAGAATCTTAAAACTTCAACATGCACGGAATATTTGCACGCATTTTCGAGACCTATGAATTGGGGTACCATGTGGAATCGGAGTGCAAAGGAAGGACTTGTCGCAGCTCGTGGTGACCTTTTCTTATTGAATCTTCTCAATTGCATTTCGCGCTGGTTTATTTGGAACGAAACCCTAATTTTGCGCGTCAGTGAGATTGTATACATTCTTTTTGTGTCTGTCATTTGTTCCTTGTGAGAACAACTACAGAACGATAGTGGGAAGCCTTACTATGCAAGGATTTTTTAGGAGTCTGCAATGGCGACACGTAAGATTACTGTACAGTTTCCCGCAAAACTCTTCGGTAAGAGTTGCGAGTGAGTGAATGAGGGCGATGACGTTCGTGTGGATCCTCTTTGATCCTTTTTCGTGGTATTAAACTGCGATTCCTACTCTAGGTGGGTGCTGGAAAGGCGCTGAGTTCTGTCGATAAACTCAGCAACAGAACTCCTGGGTTGGTGGAATTGCGGAGACGATGTGATTTGGGGTTTCAAAGGAGTCGCCTCGTAAGAGTGGTGGCCATGGGGCGCAAGTCAATGGAAGTAGGAAAAGGTGGCGAGAATGAAAGACCTGAACTTAAGTTGGAAACAGCCGATTTAATGGAGCTCGAGTTTGGCAAATTGCTCGGGGAGCCTCGCCACGTTACATTGGCCAAGGTCGTTTTCTTCTCCTTTCAGAAATCCTGCGGGAAATGTTTAGGAGATTTCATTACTTTTTTATTTAATAATTACTTATCAAGAGCTTTGCCTAGCACGTTTGTGAAATTGTTGCCTTAGAACTAGCTACCTTCTGAATTGTCCTTGTAGATGTGCTGTCACAATATTGATCCCGGAAATAGATTCTAAGATCAGGCCATGGAATGCTGTAATGTTATATTCTTATTGCTCTTGACTGCAGGTTGTTGGACGAAAATTGAACCCTGAGGTCCCCTACGTTGAAAGTGAGAAGAAGACTCTTAATAAAATTCAGGACTCTCAACCAGAGATTTCTGAAGCCGAATTCTGCCGATTATTGAACCAGGAAGGCAGCGGACCACTCAGGGGTGTTAAGAACCCGGCTGTAGAGAGCAGTGAGGACCTCCCAGGCCTTGTGAAGCCACCCTCGCGACCAGGACAGATAAGCTTTTCTGAAGCTGAATTCAGCCGATTGGTGAACCAGGATAGCAGATCTCGTGTTGAGAAGCCAACCGTAGAGAACAGTGAAGATCTCCCCGGCCTTGTCAAGCCGCCCTCACGGCCGGTGCGGTCACTACCCAAAGTTCATCATCTCTCTGATGCATTTTTGTTTCCCCCTCTTATGCAAGCGTACGAATGTACTAGACCATGAATGCGGTGGTTAAGGCGGCGTGCAATTTAACCTTCAGACCATTAAAATATTTTGTGTATGAAATGTGCTGTCTACAAGATCAATTTACATCGAGTACTTTGTTTCGGTGTCGGTAACAAGCTGCATTGGCCCCCTGGTTCAGGGATCACGAAGAGCGTCTTCTGTCAGCTCTGCTCAAACAAGCCCGGCAGCTTCAAGAAAGAAAGCAGTGCCTCTAGTAACCTTTGGACCCGGTGGATTTGCAGCTCAATCAAAGAAGCCCTTAGCGGAAGAAAACAACTACATGGGTCATGCCCAGAAACCAGCAATCCCTTCTCCAGATTCGATTAAACCTTCGTGGCCTAAGAACGACAGTGTTCCTCCCATGTTGTTAGGCAAATCGACAAAGGAAGCAGATGATGATTACTTGAAACTTGTTCAAAAACCGACAATTCGGCCAGTAGCAGCTGAATCTGCACGTGCTGTAGCTAGTGATGCTGTAGCTAGTGATGGGAGATCCAGTGTCAATGAACCTCCTCAGGTGCCGTTCTTAACCGGCAAGCTATTACGAGTAAAACTTAATGGAAAAGCATCGGCTAATACAGATCCAGTTATGGATGGTTCCCCTCTTGATATTCCTGAAGAGCGATTTGGTGAGCTTCTTAGGATGGCGGATTCAACTGCAAATGATGAGGTGAAATTTCGTATCAGTATATCACAAGCGTTTATTAGCTGCAATTGAAATGAAGAACAGTGGGGTTTTCTATGAGTTTGTCGTAACTGTGTAAGCTCAGCCAATCTCCGTTAGGACGACTTGCGCTTCAACTGCCTGCGTCCATATCTCGTGGAGGCTGATATGTTTTCGCCGAAGTCTTTATTTTGCAAGTACTAATTGCACTTTCCATAAGTCATAAACAGTTCAATCTTATTTTTCATAGTCGTTTTGAAGAGGGTTCTGTTGAGGTACTAGCAAATATGGAATGATGTTCCTATGGGGGTTCGGCAGGAAGTGCCTTCTGAGATCTCGACTACACTAGCTGCGACGGTTGTGGGAAAACCCCGTAAGAAAAAGCCAACCCCGAAACTCGGCTCAAAGCCTATGCTGGCAGCTAAACCTCCTCTCAAAGTTGATGAAAGTGGGGAAGTTGCACGTAGGCATGATTTATCGATCCCATCATCAACTTCATCCAACGATGTACCAAACTCATCAGTTGACTCTCCAGCTGCAGACTTGGAGGAAATCGCAGAGCCGATGCTATCTGGTTCCGGTGTGTTCACCTTGCCTATGAAACCTGTACTTTGTAACATTTATTGAATACCGTGGATACCGCCCTTCCTTTCCTAAGTACATTAAATCCCTGTCCGTGGTGTATTCATGCTTTCTAAACTTATTTCCTGATATCTGCAGACGCTGCGTCAGTCGTTGATTTGAGGACACCTGATGAAAAATCAACAGATGTGGCGAAACTTGATAACGCAGACTCTTATGAAGACGAATCAATTATGAAGCTAGTGAAGAAAGCTAGTCTTATTGCTCCTGTCAGGCTGCCGAAAAGGATTGTCAAGTCTATCCCCGGCCCCGTTAAAGCGAAAATTGGTGATGCTCAAGACAGCAGAATGGCTGGGTGGTCCGATGAATTTAAGGCTGCTGTCAAGAGAAGTGAAGCTGCACTACCAGATATTGGAGCACGAAGACTCGCTGGGACGGAGTTCGACCAGTTGGACCAGCGGAAAAGAGCCGCGTAAGTTCATTTCTTCCTGTTACCACTTGCAAAGATGAAATACTGATGTACTTCCATCTGATTCATGCGATATCCTATTTCTATGTCATACTCATATTGTTGCAAGCATCTAGAATTTGCAACCTGGTAACGAATGAAGATGCTTTGGTGCTGTTTGTTTTGCATTAAGGGTCATTGAGCTCAAGCAGGACGTATGTTGCAGAAGTTGTCGCAAATAAGATCTGGCTCTCGTGTGTGCAATGGCTATTTTCAGTTGATGAGATTTTTTCATGTAGATTTACCTTATCCAGGAAAAGTATTGATATTGAATGCATGAACTTGATGCATAGAGAAAAAAAGATTCTTGCGGTATGTTAAATATTCTTCATTTTCATGAGGATTCTCTCTCTCTTGATTTTCAACAAGTGGTTCATTCTTCGAGGAATGTTCTTGTAGATTGCGACAACGGCCTCTCGCACGATCTGTTCCTCCCTCAGTTGCTGGAACCTCTGTAGATTCTACTGGAGCTAGCACACAGCAACGTGTTTTCTCTCGCTCAGTGATATCGAATCCAGAGCCTCCTCATTCGTATGGTGCAACTATTCAGGACTTAGCAGCGGGCTCGTCTGAACGAGCTGGCACATACCTCTCTGATAATCAAATTCCATTGAAGGTATTCTGCTTATTAGCGAAAAACTTGATCTTAGAGGGTCCTCTTGCTTCAATGACTAATGACTCAGAAATCGAACTTGAGATTGTCGTGGAAAATTTTGACTGCGATGTAAACATATTAAAAGGCTTGTATTTCAATAGTTAGCATTAAGACTTCACATTTTTGCAGAATCCTAGCATCTGCTACTTCTTGCTATGATATCTTATGTAGCACAATGATATTTTTTTTAGTATATATTTATTGGTAGCATGTATAATACAAGAGAAAATCTTGAATCTCATCAATTAGATTTACGTTGCTTAATAAGCAGGAAGACGTGGACAAAGATTGGGCTCGTGCAGAAGCATTACAAGAGTCTAGGACAGTGGAGGAAGTCGTATTTACGAAGGCCCTTAAAAACAGCATGCTGGTAAAACACCATCTCAGGTTTCTACTTATATGCGTGAAGATAATTTTCTGAAATGAATTTGGTTTCTCTACAACCACAGTATAGTACACCTAGAAGATTAGCTGTATTGAATAGGTATGTGAGGAACGAGCACTTGCACGAAATTGTTTGCTAACTAAACTATCACAATAAAAGGATCTTACGCATCAATCAGAAGCTGCGCGTCACTATTATGATAAAGTTAGAAATGAGGGCAGATAAAAATACATATTTTCGCTATGCTTACAAGCTATATTCTGCCTTACTTTGCCTTCGTGTAGTCATTTCAATCGGGTTGAGGCAGAGAAACTAGTTCAGATATTTGTTCAAAATAAATTGTAACTTACTCAGGATGATACTGGTCAGGTGAATTTTGGATTTCTTCAAGGCTTTGTGCCTGCTTATGAACTATCTAGTCGAAGAAGGCCACCATCATTTACGACTTGGGCGCAGGATAACGGTCACATAATCAATAGGAAAATGAAGCTATCGGTTGCATCTGAGAATCATCCGAACAATGATTCTGAAGACTCCAAAGAAATAGGAAGAACAGACAGCGACGATGAAGAATACAAGAAATTGTTGCAGCAGTATGAGGAGGCGCGAGCCAACCTACTAAGAGCTCTTGTTGGAGAGGTCAATTGTTTCCCTTCCTTGCAATCAAATTCAGCCTTATGAAGCTTGGGTGACTGAATGTTGGCTAAGGTAGTGCCGCGCTAGAATAGTTTAAGTTCATTTGTATAATCATGCTAATACCTAGTTACGGTCTACTTGAGGTCATTACTTATTTGGAGTCCTGTAGATGGTATCCTTCTGAAACTCACCTGAGTTGCATATGCAGACTGCAAAGGTGGTGGTTGTCGCAGTAGATCGTGAACGTAAGCAGCTGCGGTTCTCTGAAAAAGAAGCAGAAGGTGAAGGTCGGGAGCTTGCCGAAAAGAAAGCGCAGCTCATGGTTAGTTCTCAATATGTACCTTCTCTATTTTCCCTAGCACTCATCTTTTAATTTGAGCATGGTGTGTAAGCAGTGTCCCCCCCCCCCCCCCCCCCCTTGATCATATGAAAGTGGTTCACATATAAAATACCCGATTACTTTTGCTGGAAAATGTGCGTTGTCGTGTTAGGAAAACTTTACACATTCAAAGAATGCTTTCATTTTCATTGACGTGCATAGTGTCTACCACGTGAGGTCGCCTCTATGACCCCGGTGACTTCTAACGATTCTAGGTTGTAGTGAATTTCACAATCTGTCCAAGCTCAACTATTGCGTGGTAAATTTAGAGTCCACAGTTTTCGCTCATGTATCGTGCCCTTTCGCTTCTGGGGTACTATGGATGTGACCTTTCTTAATGGTAGCCCTGAAGTGCGACCAATACTCACAGTCGGCTGTTCTTGCAGGCAAGTTTGAACGTTGGAGATGTTGTCAAGTGCACTGTCAAGAAAGTAACCAGTTTTGGAGCATTTGTAGAGGTAGATTATTATTCTTGAGGTTGCCTTACGTAGCCATCCATCAACAGGATTCTTTAGTATTACAAGACTTGAGACATGTGACCACCATGATATTTGGTTAATGTTTGGTAAGCATTGGAATGAACCATCTTGATATAGTATAAATGATGCTCTGGTAGAGCACAGTAAGTCTAGTAGCTATGTAATCAGAATCAATGTCTAACACTCATTCTAACCCGCTCATATTTGTGCCGTAAACAGTTACGAGGAATCCCTGCACTTATTCATATCTCAGAGCTATCGTGGAATCGAGTAACGGAACCTTCGACAATATTAAATGATGGAGTCGAGGTAGAGGTTAAGGTTTGCAGGCTTGACCGGTACCTGCAGCGTATCAACCTTTCCCTTAAGCAAATGCAGGCAAGGCAAATTCTCCTTTACCCTGTGCCATTGACCAATTCTGGTGATCGTACCTCATCAGTGCTGCTCCTTCTAAGTTATTTTCTATGTTTGTCACTGAAATTGAACGAACCTGATCAAACTTGAACTTGCATCTGGGTGGCAGCCGGATCCGTTGCTGGAGACGCTGGAGTCTCTTGTGTCCAGCGACTTTGAAGAAACTCCAACTAGTGGCGAAGTTCCAAATGGCACTGAGGTACATGCACCTCTGTAGTGTTATTACTTCATTCGTGTCTTACATTTTCTCAGTTTTACGTTTCGTAATAATTTTGTGTTTCTTTTTGTTTGATGTCCAATCAATTTTCCGTTGATTGCAGACAACTGGAATGCCAGAGCTGATTGAAGTGATCAGGAGGCTAGAGGAGCTCAAGGGCATTGAAAGTGTCCTACTAGGGCGCAGAATTCAAGGAACTGCACTAGCCCCCACATTCCAAGTCTATTTGTCTGGCCAGCTTGATGATGGTTTCAAGCTTCTTGCTAGATCTGGAAACCAAGTTCAAGAGGTTTGTGCCCATATCTGCTTCAGAATGATACTTCTGAAATCTTTCCCAAGCTTGGTTGAAGGGTTAGACAGTGTGGTTGCTGCTTCATTATATGTCAAGGATATTTATGGAGAGTTTATTTGATTCATGTTATGACTGTTCTATATCCATGCTCTGCTGTTCTTAATGATCCCTAAGGCCAAGTGAAGAATGTTATATCCTCAAAATCTTAGTAAAAGTAATTTATTGACGAACTGCTGGGATGTTAGGGTGCAGTTTTTAAGTGTGCGCGGAGGCTGGCAATCTCATTCTCGTAGCTAAACCATTTGGTTCTGTCTATTTTCAGGTGTTGGTGCAAACAGCGCTTGACAGGGAAAGCATGAAGGACGCAATCCGGCAGTGCACTTTCAGTGACGTCTAATCGAGATTCTGCGTGTCCACAAGTTTTGTCACATCACAATCTCTGTAATCTTTTAATAAGAACTCTCATCACCGTAGTTTAGCACAAATTCGTTTACAGCCCTGTGGGTTGATGTACCATTCGAACACGCTAATGTCGGTCAAAATATGGACTTTATGTAGTGCAAGCCGCCCATTCTTTCCTCCCTCAGCTTGCTCTCAGAACCACAGTAACCGTGAAGAGACCACCGTCTAGTGTAGGATAGTCGACCATATCAGAAAGAATTTCAGTTATGAGACAATGAGGGAGGGGGTTTCAGTTTCACTTGTTCTACATATCGAAATGAGCCAACTTGACGCTTGTACAAAAATTCTCCCAAGTTTCAATATGTGGTCATAGGTCACTCGTCGATTATGGTACTCAGATCGAAGACAGATACATGACTTTTCAATGTGATGTTTTGATATTTCACCGTCATTCAAAGCTTTTGTTGAGCAGACCCATACATCGCACTGGCCCAGGTCTCCGTCCGAATAGATTCACGCGTATCGCAACAACATGCTACACGAAACCTGCCTTTGAAGACTAGGTGTAGCGGCCACAAATGCAGGACTTGTGGGACGACGGCTGAGTACTCCGCTTTATCTTCACAAATTGGTTAATTTCCTAAACGGAAGCTCGTCGTCCACCGGAAGATAAGCGGACAATAATTCCATATCCGATGATGGCGCTGAGCTAGTGCTTGCGGATTGCCACGAGTGAAGTAAGAGTTTTGGAATAATTTTCAGCACCTAGAAATCCAGTAACATTGCTTCTAGTAAAGAAACGATGAGTGGATCCAGTTGAGGTTTGCAGCATGCGAAGCAAGAGTAGTTACTTGCAAATAAGAAAGAAAACTAAGAATGCAACGTGTGTATGTATATGCATATGTATTTATATTTATATATGAATATATATATATTTATATATATATATATATATATGATACAATAAACATGTACAGATTGCTCTGACATTTAACTCTTTCGCTTAGAGGGTGGCTGACTGAGTCGGCAGTTCCTTTCCACTCTTCGACAATCGTCTGTGAATCCTACCTTATCCAAACTATAATTCTACCGACTTGCTTCATTGATGACAATTATGTTCCCCGCTACAACGCAACCACAGGATTCACATCTAGTTATTCAAAGAAAACCAAACACGATTTCACAATCTGCGGGGGTCGATTGACCGGCTTCGCAGCAGATAAATTCTCGAACACAGTCTGCGGAGGTCGATTAACCGGCTTCGCAGCAGATAAAGCCTCGAATACAATCTGCGGGGGTCGATTGACCGGCTTCGCAGCAGATAAAGTCCCGAATACAATCTGCGGGGGTCGACTGACCGGCTTCGCAGCAGAAAAACTCTCGAACACAATCTGCGGGGGTCGTTTGACCAGCTTCGCAGTAGGTAAATTCTCAAAGCACAATTTGAGGGGGTCGACTGACCGGCTTTGCAGCAGATAAATTTTCAAACAGTCCGCGGGGGTCGATTGACCGGCTTCGCGGCTGACTTCTGTATGTAATAATGTTCTGTACAAAAAAAAACTCTTACCTGATCGATGCGAGTTGAACTGATTAATCACTCGATGTACCGATCCATTTTGGCCAATCGGATGTCTCGCAGCAAGAGGCGAGCAAAGAAGGCAGTCTCTTCTGGATTAGCCACCCAGAGAATGGAGCATTGGGACCGAGTGGCCATGTCGTTGCCGCTCACGGTGAAGCGGTCTCCGACGTGCAGGGTTTCAGAGCACCTCTTATTCAGAAACTTCATAAGAGCGCGCAGACCAACAGATTTGTTCCCCACATCGACGAAGACGTCGTTGCCACCGTTGAAGGCGCAGAACGGGAGGGCAGAGTGCATGAGCTGGACCTGGACTGTGAGCGCCATCTCTTCCAGGACCTCATAGATAGTAGGATCCTTGGGCACAGCCCCTACCGCTCTCGGTTTGCGAATGATCTCTACAGGGACTCGCAACCGCGCTGCAGCTGATTTCAGAGACCGCTCTGCATTATCAAGGAGCTCCTTGATGTCGCTCTCCTTCCAAGCGAGCATATCGGGTGATTTCCACAGCTCATCGGGAATGAATTCCAGCTTGTACGTCTCCGGATTAACGCCCAGGAGGTAGTTGCACTCGCCCCCCATTACATGGAAGAGCTTTGTGATGGTAGGGGGAAGCTCGAGCTCCTTGAAGGCTTCCAGGAGTCCCGCAAGGCGATTCTCGAACTTCTCCGCGTTGCCGGGGTACCCAGCTGCAGTTACGATGGCGACGTTTATGCCCTCCCGCATGAGCTTGATGATATGGCCTATCATCTTGTTGTCCCCGCGGATGTGGTGCCCGTCGGCATAAATTGTCCCGTCGGCGTCGAACGTGATAAGCTGAAGCTTCTCGGCGATCGAATGCACCTGGGCAATGTTCAGCACATGGCGGACCTCGGCAAAATTAGGGGGCACATACTTGCGCCGAGAGAGGGAGGCGAATTCGTCATATTCGTGCAGAGCACGCACGAGGGGCAAGGGAGTGTGGAATCGAGGTCCCATGTGTGGTATTAACCGGTTGAGCGTAGACCGGTTGGGGTCCGCGACATGCTCACGCACCCAGCGCTCCACCTTCTCCATCACCTGGAAGGGCGAGTGCGTGTGGTGCATAGAGATGATGAACTCGATAAGCCCGTCCTGCTCTTTGAGTCGCCCCTTTCGGCGCAGGACATGTGCGTCCGTGACGCTGGAGGCGCGGAAAAGATGTGCGTCCTCTAGAGCCTCCGTGCTTAGCAGCATGTTCCATTTCATTCCGGTCTTGCTTGTGTCTGCTGGCTTCACGTGACCGCCAGAGGAAGACCCGTCTGTATCATTCGACGCTGAGGGCTTTTCCTTTGAATCACCACTCGACGAATGGTTGGCACCATTGGTGCTATCTCCCCCTTGCGCCACAGCACTTCTCCCATTCTGATTCTCCTGCACTGTTTCAGCACGCTCCACCCATGCGTGCTCCAGCTGCTGCAGACCAGCTCCCTCATGGTTCGCCACAATTACTGCGACGTTGCCCATGCTGTCATTGTCTGCAGAGGCATACGATGTCGAGGGCTCAGAAAGACTCCCTGCCTCGCACCGCAGCCTAGCGTGGCGGTAGACAGAAGAACTACCAGGAGACAATCGCACCGATTTGGGTGCAGCACCCACGGTGTAACTCGGGATGACCCAAGTCCTCTCGACCAACATCCCCGAACCCCGTGATAAACCCCCTACTCGCCTCCCAGGATCGGAGATGGCAATCACACCACCCCCAGAAGAGCATTGCAGCAAGCAGTGCTTCTGCGCCATAGCTCCACGAAAGAAATAAAATCCAGTACTCAACGCTCAATATTATTTTTACTCAAAATCGACGAACGGAGGCCCAAAACGAATGCGATCACTCCCGACAATTTTAATCAGGTCGACGTTGCCCCTCCCGGACCAGAAAGCACCATTCACCACTGGTTCCTCCCTTCATCAAAATCCGGGCTCTCACTTCTCAACCGCTTCTCAACGCCCACCACCTTCTACCTCGGCACCTTGACTCAACCCCCAACAAGCCCCCCTTTATTCATCACGACCAGTCCCATCCACAGCAGCATCGGCACTGTGTATAGTCTGCTCCCCCAGCAGACCGAAAATAAACTTATAATGTTCGCATCCGATTCCTTCTCACCAGATGATCACGCCACATCGGACTCCCGCTCTGACACACGACTCTCTCTATCGATCTATCTATCTATCTATCTATCTAGATCTCCCGGTGTACATGCCCAAAAATGATTCCAGCTCTCGTTCCTACCTGATCGACACGAACCGAACCGAACCGAACCCCCTAGATAGCTCCCGCCGTGCATTAATTGTTAATACGCCATCCCACCAACAGTGTCACCACCATTTCCATTCCAGCTAGAATCGATTTACGGTATTCTAGGATGACGATGACAATCTTTGCAAGGGCCTTCTGCAGCGCGGCGCTGGCATACATGGATGGTCTCCGCATTATGCTTGACCAGCGACCAACCAGCTCCTCGCCACTGCCTGTATTATGTACACATTATTCACGAGCTAGCTGTGTGGGTGTGTACACACATACGCACACACACACACGCCGGAGTAGGGTCTCTGCTGAGACAGACGGCGTTAGGGGGGCCGCGGTCTTGGATGGATTCCACGGTGTTAGGGTTGGGATATGTCCGAGGCCCTGGCCCAACCCGTTCCTGGTCAACTGCTCTCATCGAACGTGAAAAGGGGGGTGGACAAACACGTGTTGTGCAAATCTGAATGTATTTAAAAATATGATTTTTGTTTTAAATATCATAACTTGCTTGGTCCCTTGTATGAACAAATCTCTCCTTTAGAAATTTGAGTGAATTCTTTTCTTAAACCTTTCCAAGCCACTCATCCCAAGGTTTCATAACCATGAATTCCATTAACAAATGCTAGATCTTTGTCAAGCTTGTGTACATTATCACTATGTGGCCAATCGGCACATCTACCAAAGAAATGAACCGCTCCCACCTCCTAAAATCCATCATCCATTTCCGCACACATTTTGTTTGTTGGGGTAAATCAAGCGCTCACGACTATTCCATCCATGGCATGGAATTGGAGTCGCGTGACATGCAGCCACAGGATGCTTGGGGCGAGAGGAAGGAATAAAAAAACTAATAATATACACATATTGATTGATTGATTCGGAAGGTGCCCGAGGGACATTCTTTGTTCCTACTTATCATATCTTCTGCTAAACGAGCAAGGGAATGGGTAGATCTAGGGATTGTTTTTCCCCTCCCCACTCCCACTCGTACATGCGAAGGGGACGGGAACTCTGTAGACGGAGGAGGAGGACATGGGTAATGGGCAACACAGCTTTCGTGGCTTCATTCACTTCGTCTTCCTTCCATGCTTCCTCGTTCTTCCTCTTGATCGACCCGCCACATACACGGGAATGTGTGAGCAGTTGTATCCTGTTTGTGTGTGTGTTAGTGTGTCCACGTGACCCTGCGGCTGCTTCTTTGTTTAATGGGAGCTCTTCCTTGCGCATTTTACCTTGTTACAGTACAGAACATCCCATCTACTCCTTTTAGTTTATTTTATTTGTCACTGTTGTTCAAACATGGTGATTATTTCTGTGCATCTCTTGGAGCCAATGAATTCTTTTCTTATTAAAAAAATGTATCATTGCTATTAAAAATATTGTTGCTGTTGTTGTTCAATTGCAAAGATATACCACATGCATGCCCAAATTAAATACCACAACAACAAACTCCTAGAAAGAGTAGATGAATAAATTTTGTCTTTGGAGAATCAATCAATTGAAAAATAAATAAAATAAATAAATAAAAAAGGAATGAGACATTACTCATATCTTACAGGAATAGAACTTAAGAAGTTTGTTAAAAGTCAAAATTTTATGAATCCAATTGTCTACAGGAAATGCTTGTTGTTGTCGTTGTTGTTGTTATTTTTATTTTTATTCATTTTTTACTATTTTAAAAATTCGATTCCTTTCGGATTAAGCCATGCAGATAATTCCAACAATTTAAACGACTTTAAACTTACAGCATTGCATGTCATTAAACAATTTATTTTATTCTAGTATAACTTGATTTCATATATACAGAGATGTTTGAATACATGTCACAGTAAATAGTCCCAAGTGATGGCATTTCAAAAAGATTCAAATTGATCCAAACTAAATTGTTTAAGTAATTTCAAGAAACTAGGCTCTCTAATTAACATGTATAATAAATGTGTGGAGTGTGAATTGCCCTACTTACATATATGATTACCAATAGTTCAGATGTAAAGAATTTAATTGACATGATTAAATCTTTGTAGGAATAAATATTTTGAAATATTCCACCTAATATTCTTTATTGCACAAATGTTGTTGGATGTATGCATGTACACAACAAGGGTTTTTAGTATCTAATGTTTGGAGCCCTTACCTCCCATTGCAACACATTTTTCTTCATATATTATTTAATATTTTAGCAATAAGGGAAATTTATACTCGAAAATTCTGGAACAATGTATCATCAAGTCATCAAAACATTTTGGATCACTACCTCCATATTATGAAATAAGTATTCATTTATTTGTATGTTGTTTACATAGAAAATAAACTCCTTTTTTGAAGTGCACAACAAAGGCTAAATTGGCTGCAGAGCAACTGAGCAGTAATAATTTATTTATTTACTTATTTTAAAGTATAAAGGTGAAGGAAACACATTTCATAAAATATGCTTGTCCACTATGTGATCAATGGAAATTCAAATCAGCACTAAACCCTAAACCTGGCAGCCAAAAAACCTCCCAATATTCTCAACATTATGCTTTCCCTCGGACCCAAGAGGGAATCCACACGAAATAGGCAACGCTTAAGAATTTGCCAATAGTATGCTCATGATTGGTAGGCATCTGGGAGAGGAGGGAATAGAATAATGCCCACAATATTATGAAGGCCAAGCCAAACCACGCCCAGCTGTTGGGATTTTGTTCATGTGGATAACATGGGAGTTAGTTGGTTGGACTCTCCCTCACATCGATGGGAACGGTTCCCAGAACCACTTGAACCACGGTGCCCAACTTTATCAAGAAGATGTAACAGGTCTTTTGATCGAATCTCCTTGGGAACAGTAGTATTGTTATTACTGCACCATTGAGCCAAATTCTTCAGTCTGAATGGCACTCCAGAGCAGGGTGTTGGTGGAAAATTAGGGTTTCCGAGTTGCCAAGCCAACGTGGAGACGATGACACGCTGTCAGGCTCACTGCCACCTGTGTACCCACGGTAGGTTCAGCTCGCGGGATCCCTGTGCCACATCACTCAAGATGCCACGTCATCACATTGCGATAAGGAGAACCGGGGCCCATGTGAGCTGGCAGACAGGGACTTTGGGGGGGGGGGGTGAGCCTTACAATAATAACAGGCTGTGCTCATATTCTCTCTCATATGTAAAAAGGGAGGATGGGCAGGAATATTAGTACCAGAGAAAATCGATGATAGCCCAAGGAGATAAGATCATATTCTTGACTTCAGCACAAAGCTTCAGCTGATTAGAGTGCCAGAGCCTAAAAGACTGGTAGCAAGGAGATAAGCAGGAATGTGTTGTGTAAGCTCGATCTAAGATGGACGGTGAATGGTTGAATTGGTTTTTTTTTAATTATTATTATTATTTTTTAAACACCTCTATTATTGGTTACACAACTTTGCACAGAAAAAAACATAAATGACAACTAATAACATTTTTTAAAAACATTTACTGAGTTTCATTCTTTCTTTCCCTAGAAGGAAACATGTGAGTTTGATTGCTTTTTTGGGGAGAGGAGTATGCAGCCATACAAACAACACGTGTATGATCCGTATGTTGGCAGGACTAGAAACAGGAATCTCGTCAACTTCTATCAGAACTCTAACCAGGACTCGTTATCAGATATCCAGAACCCAGTGAACTTGTCACATGAACAGTTCCTGTGTTGGGCAGGTCATGGGATGGCTTCTGTTGGTCTGCGGCTCCCAACATGCTCTCCTGTGAGCAGGGAGCTGAGTCAGCTGGGACCCAGCCACGTCGTCCTCTGAGGGTGGGGTCCAGCTGGATGAGATATTTTATCCACGTCAGTATCAAACTTTTCCTGCAGGATGACTCGACCTTGCACCACACAATGCCAGTCTCCCATACCACGTGGCTTTCGAATTCCCCACGCAGATTCCGCACGGAACATGCCCTGTTCTTCTCACTCTACCATGTGACAATGGGGAGAGAGTACTGAGAGTTAGAGAGAGAGAGCAAGTTTTGAAAGTGGGACGGGGATGGAGTGGAAAGCACGGTGTTGACTGGGAGGAATTCCTTACAAAGTGGACCCCGAAAGTAAAAGCTAAAAATGAAAAGTTTCCAGCATTATGGAAGGATTCTCACTTCACAATATTTTACTGTTGGAGTCCAATTGGTATGTTTATTTATTAGAACCATCATTGGTCGATCTTTCATCTCCATTCATAAATTGTTACTTTTGATAATTTGGTTTTTCTTTTTTTTTTAGGGTTCAAAGTTATATTCCTCAATAACTCCATATTTGCACTTCAAATATGCCATGGTCTCCTAAGAGTTCTAAGATAAAAACAATGTTCTTTATCCACCACATAAAAATAAGGTATTATTGCAATTCCAAGTACATTTGTAAGTTATTTGTACTCGTTTGAAAATTTTAGAAAATTGTTAATTCTACATCCCCAATTGATATTGCTACACCAATCTTAAACAATCCCAATATTTAATTCTAATATTGATCCAAAATAGAATAAATTAAAAAATAAAATTTAATAAATTTGAGCAATCAAATAGTAATTTTAAATATATAATTTTAAATCAAATACTTTTCAAGGCATATATTCTATTTCGTTTTTAAAAAAACTTGCAAACTATTCTTTTAAAAAAATTTCATTATCTTCCTCTTAACTACCACACTTTTTTAAAACAAAGAAAGGAAAAAATGTACAAAAGAAAGAGGCATATTATTAACTAGTCATGTACAAGGAGATCACGTGGAGTATAGCAATAATAATTATGAATGCATTGTTAACAATTCTCCAATTTTATTATTGACCATTTTAATTCTAATCCGTATAAATCTTTAAATTTTTGATTTGAAACATATTAATTGCCAATATTTGATAACATCTAACTACTCCTACTACTTGCTATTATACTTGTATTTTAATTGTTAAAAAACTCTTATACACACATTAATATTAAGAATTTTAATTTTTTTTCTTTACTCTCAACCATATTATTGATTTTTTTGTTTAAGATTTCTATTTTTTGGTTTTTCCTCAAACTTCATCTATAATATATATATATATATATATATATTAATAGTTGAACTGTTGGCTTTGCCAACATTGAACATATTTTTGGCATCCAATAAAAAACAAAAAACAAAAACAAAAAAACGGTTCCACATCAGCTAGGTGCAAATCGGGTATGTCATATGAATCAAAGGTATATGTCATTGAGCATTGTGATCATTAAGCATTATATTTATATTAAAGTATACCTTCTTCATATTCTT